TGTTATTAGGCATCATGTAAATCCAGAGTGTGAGTTTGAGCTGTTCTGCATTTTTTCCTACGTACAACTGCGGTGATGAACCTTCATCTGTTTTCCAGTCACTTGTTCAAAGGTGTTGAGATTAGGGAAGAGGTTACAAGAGCAGTGGAGATGGCTCTGGGAGCAAAGTTGCTTCCATGGTTTCCAGAAGAGGTTTGGAAGGGCAGATGAGTCCAGTGAGTACAGCTGAAAACTCTCAGTCTGTTTGCACAGGCTGATGCTAAAATAAGTGGTGGATTACCTGAGCCTTAAGTCGTGAAAAATACCTGCTGTGGGTGAAGCAATGATGAATAATGGTCTTTAGATTAAGTCTCAGGACACCAATTTCTAGATGACTCACAGCTAACGTTAGCTGTGCAGAGTCAGTGGCCATCTACAGTAGTGGCTCCTGCACTGGAGGGTGTGAGCTGCAGCCTTGCCCTTTCAGCCCCAGGTGCTGCTCCCATCTCTGTACTGCTTGCAGATAGATGTTCCTGTCCTGCATTTTCCCTCTGAGTAGGCACTCATGTTAGAGATGCTTTTCACATAGGAAAGATGTCTGGGCTGGGATGTCCCATGTTCACAGAGATGGGGAAGGCAACATTGATGTTCTTCCTTCTGCTACAAATCATGGGGAAGAATGGATTGCTTCCTTGTTTGAGCCCCAAGATCTGCGTGCTGTTTTTCTGGTTTAGGACTTGCAGGATATATGCAAAGTGCTAACAACTTGATTTACTCTTCCCATGCACCCAGATAGTTACTCACCCAGCACAAAGTGGCTGTAACACCTTGTGTCGACCACATGCAAAACCATGGGAAATGTTTGTTTGCATGACAAAGCTGTGGAGGATCAAGCTTCAGATGAGGAATGGATGCTAAACAGAAATCAGAGTGATGCCTGCCTGTTTTATGCAAACAAAACTTCTTTTGTCCTAAGGTGATACTGCTTCACCAAAACATTAAAGTAGGCATAATTGGAACTTAAGTATTTTTTACACTAGCAGAGCATCAGCAGCAGCCTTTGCTAGACAAAATGTCAGAAGATTTTCAGATGGGCAAAGTTTGGTATGGCTGGTGTAGAGAGGCTTTTATTAACTTGAAATCTAAAAGATAGTAAATTCTTGGTTGGTTTGTGGGTTTTGGTTTTTTTCTTCTTTTTTTTTTTTTATTTTTAATTTCCATTAGAATCTTTTAAAATTGTGTAAAGTCAGCTAAACCTGTTGAAAATAATTTAGAAGTTTTTTCCTGACATAATAGATGATACACACATTAGGTAATTGAAATCATGCACACTCCAAGAAGATAAAACCTCACCCTTCCCATTTGTGGTGAGACAGGATTGAACCTGTCTAAAACTATTTCATGTAGAGGGAGAATAAAGCAGGAAATGAATTATGGTTTTATTTGAGTTGAAGGATTAGTTGAGGGATAATAGTGAAAAACGAAACAACTTGGGCACAAGGCTGCCGTCTCTTAAACAGTTTTATTAGCTTATGCTGATTTGTGAATTAGGGAAACCAAATTATGTCATGCAAGAGAGCAAAGGATGACAATTAAAAACCTGCAGGAAAGGACTAGTAAAATGGTAATCTCTCACTGCCTGATCTTCAAAGCAAGATGGGAGAGCATGACCTTTTCTTGGAATAAATACAGGATATTGCACGTAGCCAACTTCTGGTTTTCAGGTTTTGCCAATTTGCAGTTGCTTGCTTGTACTACAGTCCTTATTTGCTGATTGCCCTGGGGTCCAATTTTAGTCTCAAAATACTCCCGAGAAGTACTTCCATGTTCTTTGATTTGAGATCTGTTCATGTCTCAATTACACTTCTAATCTGTCAGCACAATGTCCTTTTTAGCTGTCAAAGACAGGGCTATGCTGTGATATTTGAGAAACCATAATGCTGTGAGACCATGCAAAACAGCTTCCTTGGTAACGCTTCCCATTTATAGTGGAGATGTGATCGGTAACCGTGTATGTGATAATGATTTGTTGATCACGTTGAAACTTCAGTCACAAAGTCTGGTTAAGACCTAACTGTACTGTGAACCAGCTTTCTCTGCTGGTCCCTCCAAGTTATGACTGTTGTACATGTTCCATGAAGAGCATGTCATCAGAGCCCATGAGAACTGCATATCAAAAAGATTGTCCCAATTAGGGACTGAGTGCTCGGCTCTTCAGGTGAGGGTTGTGCTTCAAGAGGCAGCATCTCTCCATGTATCCTGAATTTTGTGCTGTGCTATCTTTGAATCTTAAGCATAAAAGTACCTGGGAACATTTGCAGGCAGACATGCCTTGGCCCTCACTGAGTGAAGTGCCTATGGGTAAGGTCAAGTGAGCAAGTTGTAGCAGATTAAACTAGCTTGTGAATTTATCATCTGCTCCGTAATAACTGGCTGTGTGCATGGTACAAAGGCACCCAGCGGTGAATACAAGGTCTCTTGCCCCTTTTTTTTGCCTGAGGTGTAAGCTACCTTGCTTTGTGTCATCTTTCCCATGAAATGTGAGTGTGTGGAGAAGGTATCTACCACCACTGCACAGGTGCTGCTTGTGGCCTGTTCTGTGTGCCTTGCTCTAGAGTCTGCAAGACACATGTCCAGTCTGACAGCAAGATCACTGCATAGCTAGCAAGCAGCCTCGCTCTTGATTCAGTGATCAAAACCCTGGTTTGGGGAGTTGGAGCCTTGCTAACTTGAACAGAATCAAAACCCTAATCCCACTTGTTGAAGTTAGTGGAAGGAGTTAGTCACTGAGTGTGGTGGGTGTCAGCCTGAGGTTATGCACAGCTGACTCTCCAGGGAGGCTCACAGGAGTCTATCCAAGCAGGAGTTTGCAAGGAGTAAACTTCCCTGCTCTTACTAAAAATAATTGGAAACCATCTATTTTTGTTGGAAATGTTAAATATTTTTTCATAGTCATTTGGACTCCATTTAAAGGTTCCCCTGAATGCTGAATGACAAGAGATGAGAAATAAAAATTTCAACTTTTAGGGTTGCCAAATTATTGGGGGGGGAAAAAAAACATAAGTAATTTGCAAATGCTGCAATCTTTCATTTTAACACTTAGAAGCAAAATGGTTTGAGTATTTCGAGCTGCAACAGTTTTTTTAATTGTGAGATTCTTGTAACGTAAAGAAAAAAATAAATGGCTTGAAAATAAATTGGTTTGGTTTTAGGCAAGGTTTCAAGGGCTTTTTTTAAAATAGGTCTGAGTTATTTTTCTCTCTTTGGTCTGCTTTCTAAAGTTAAAAATCTTGTGAGACCATGCCTGATGGTGTGTTTCTCTGTCAGATAAGCAGTAGAGTCCCAGTTCAGTAGAGGAGAGAAGCTGTTGACCAAAGTCTTGGAAGTGAAGCCAGGGCCTGGGTATCAGGGTAGCGGTGACTGTCACACAGGAGTTGTAGCTCCTGAGAAACCACTGTGTCTTAAAACGGGAAGATTTTTGAAACAGGTATCTTGCATTGTTACTTTCCATCAGGGAGACGATGAAGACACATGTGCCTTGAGAGTAGTGGTCACTGTTGTCATCATTGCCAGGTGCCTGCCTGAGTCCCAGCCAGCTGGATACAGATTTACAGACACTGCTCCATCAGGTTTTAGCCTTAGCCAGTAAATCCAGGAGTAGTCTTACACCAAAACTGGATCAGCTGGGCAGATACTGCTTTGAAAGGTTTTGTTGTTGTTTTGTGTGTTCAACTAAAACAGTCATAGGTGTAAACTTCTTTTGAATAGCAACTTTTTTTTCATCCTTGCATTGTCTTCTCTCTTCTCTTCACCCACGAACTGCACTTGTCCATCTGTCTGACTTGTTTCCCGCCTTCAGTAATGTGAGATTCATCTGCATTCATATGTAGCCATCTAATCTGAGCTCAGTGTCTAGACTCACTTTATGGAGAGAACCAGACCTTTCTAGAGAGTGAATCATTCTGTCCTAAACCAGATGCTTGATAGGTCAAATGAATCATTTTCTAGATTGCCTTGTTTCCTCCAAAAAATGAAGAGAGTTTGCGCTGTCTAAGGTGTAGAGTTTTGTCCTCCACTTGTTTTTGGTTCGAGGATGTGGATTCCACCATAAGGCTGGTAGGACGGGATCCATGTGCGCAAATCCTCAAGTGACATGTGAAACGTTTGAGAAGCCTTACATTAAGGAGGTAGGAAATGTTAGTGGCACAAAGTGAAACTAAGAATTCAAGAAGCACAAGTAGATCATGGGAACCTGGCTCAAGGAAAAAATGTTCGATTTGTGGCCTGTGGAAATACACACTCTATTTTAAGTATTCTCTGTGGGGTTCTCATAAAAATTAAACCCAGAAGTTTCTTCGGAGCCCAATAAAAAGGTTGAGGATAGTCTGATACCTTGCGTAGTAGGTAAAAAAAAATTAAATTAGGAGTTGGTCACAATGAAATTTTGTCAAAAAAGCAAATAAAGAACCACACAATATTAAGAATCTTGAATATGAAAAATACTTCCTATTGAGGAACAGCAAGAATCTGTGTGTGTATTTTTGGTTCAGTACTCCTCTGTTATAATATTGCAGATAACCATGAAAATAGATAGGTATTTGCATTCCCTTAGAGGATTTCATTGAGAACAAAAATCTTCACTTTGTGGATCTCTCTGCACATTGTGGACTTTGTTTGCAGATACTTTTCTAAACAACAACTCGAAATAGTTTTTTCTTTCTCTAGATACAGCAACAGAAGTATCCAAGAATTATTTTAATTATCTATCTGTTTCAGCAATTCTGAACTGGGTTTTAATTTTTTGTAATAATATGTACAGGGCAAATGACTGTTCCTATCCTAGGTCAGTGTTTGCCATACACTCACTCTGTACTGGAATTTCCATCTTGGGAGCTCATTAAAAAATCATTTGCTTCCAGGAGATGTAGGAGTCAATTGTTCATTTCTTAAACAGCTCTATGGATTTTCCACTTTTTGTTCCTTGCTTTCCTTTCTTACTTGGTTTTGCTTTTGTTTTACAGCTCTACCTTACTTTATTTGAAAGAGGAAAGCCAGTGAGGACCTGTGAACAATCCAGCAGCTTCTGAAAATTCTTCATGCTAAAGGATAATCCAGAATTCCCTGAAGAAGAACATAGTGAATGTTGTGAGTTCCTAGCAGTGATAACAAGTACTTCCAATTGTGTCTTTTGGGAGGTGGTATCTGCCATGTAGTGTTTGGTCTCTTCCCTGTGCTTCCATTGAGCACCAAAGACTTGAATTTCTCTCCCTCTTACTTTTTATTTTTTCTTTTAATGGGTTTAAGGGAAGACTAGTGTTATCTAAGGAAAGATGGTGGGTTTCTTTTGGACTACTGCAGTTACTTGTCATACTGCTATTGCTTTTTAGTTAAATATGTGAGCCTGGATTGGAAGTCCATGTGACTGTGTAGCCTAACAAAAAAGAAAAATACAATGGAAAACAGTTCATGAATCTACAGGTCACATTTAGGAGTTTTATGCACACTTGTACAAGAGTTGAAATGATTTGACTACTTTCAGATTAGAGGAATGCAAATGTAGTTATTTCTGCCTGGTATTCCAAACTCAAGTTGGTCAGTTTGTTATATTAGCTTGAGTATTTCCAATACAAATGCTCCTCTCAAGGGTTTGTGTTCATGGGAATTGGAGTAGCACACCTTTCTGAAGGAAACACCGTCACTCAGCTGAGACCTTGATTCAGCTGTGGTATTAATTAAAGAAAATGATCCCATGAGGATTGTTTTTCTTATGAAGCCCACTGCTTTTCTGGGTTGAAATGGGCAAACATGCAGATCAAATGTAAACATTCTCACAAAAAGAGGAAAACAAGCATTCTCTGCCTGCCAGGTTTTCGAATAATCCTTATTTTTTCCTTAGGAAAGAACCATGGAAATTTCCAAGTTAGGCAAGTTAGTATTTAATTCTTATGCCCAAAGTATGCAGTGGTCCTTCAAGATGTTAGTAGTGATAAAACAAGATGTAGATTCTCCCAGTTTGAGCAAACTATTTTGTGCACTTTCCATTAATGTAGTAAATGTATTTTCTGGCATGCCTTCTAGCTTCCTCAGAGTTGGATGCCCTCCTTTGCTCTACTTTTCCCTTTGGGTTCAGGCTTTGGGAAGCAGATTAAGACAGAGTTTAAGTGGTGCTGCTTTCCCAAGACCCAGTTGCAAAATAAATATTAGAGAAGTCACTGAAAATTTTTTATCATCTCTTCCCTTTCCCACCCACTTTGATCTACAGTGAAATAGTTAACAAAGCCAACATTTGGAATTGTTACTTACTACTTACCATTAAGCTGCCAAGTTAGTAGCTCATTAAGATGAATAAGGGGCCTCTGAGATGTGGATCTTCTCCCTGTCTGTGTATCCAAGCAGATGTGGCCATATCAGCATATTCTCACACTTCAAAACTTTTCTTTAAAACCACAAGAGCTTACTTTGCATCCTAGAAAAGGAGAGGACCAATAATAATAATAATAATAATAATAATAATAATAATAGTGATAAACCATCCTAGCATGTAGAGCTGTTGGGATAACAGGAGATGTTTGTTCAAGATGTTCCAATCACCTCCACTGACAGCAACAGCAGCACCACCTCAGGTGAAGAAGAGCATTCCCTGGGTCCTGTAAGGTGTGTGGCATGCCAGATCAGCCAGATAAACTCAAAGAGGCAGTCATCAGCCATTACAGGGGATGGAATATCTGTTGAAGATGCCTTCAGTGTGATCATTACATTCTGCTCTGTCCTAAACGGTTTAAAATCAGCCCACTTAAAGCACAGTGTGATGTTCTGCTATTGTGCTGCCAAAACCCTGATTACACTCAGAAGACCTGGGTTTATGCAGGAAAAACAGCACTCTTCTCACCAGGTCTGGATGGGAAAAAGTGTTCTTGAGAATTGCTCTTACCCTGGCATCCAGGACTGGTTCCTTTTGAGGAATCATTTCTAGGTGATGGAGAGCTTTTTAGCAGTTCCTTGAGGTGTATTTCGTCACCTGGCTTCTGCTTGGAGGACAGTGCTGCAAGAAGGAGGCAGTCAGCTAGGCTCCTCCTCTCCTCTTTCCTTTAACCTCTCAGGGAGACAAGAATACCAGAGGTGTGGAGGTACAGTGTTTCTCCTGAAAGGAAATACTGGCATACAGTGATGTTACTGAAAAATACTGCTCTCTCTTCCCTGTTTGCAGGGTGTTATCATGTTAAGATGTGAGGAAAATTATCAAACCTTTCCCACTGCAAGTGGTAGCTGTTCTCTTTCCCTTCTGCTGCCTCCTTCTGCCACCCAGGCAAATTTCAGAGGAAGGGGGGTGTGAGGAGGGAGGGGTGCAGTAAATTGGGACCAGTGTCTTGTATCCACCTAGAAACTGCCTGTTTACTAAACAGTACAAATTTCTCGCTTCCCTTTTCCTGCTCTCTTCATTTGGATGCAACACATTTCTGGAATAGCAGTGCTTGTGCAAATCAAGTCCATATTCCACTTCTGGGGAGAGAAAAAGAGATGTCAGGAGGGTTCCTTAAGGAGGAACATTTATTTTAGTAAGGGTAAAAATTAAGCAAGACAAGACTCCTTTGCTCTTGCCAGAGGGTACCTTGTGTATTCCAGCATACGGTTTTGTAATTTTCTGGTAGGATGTAGGTATCCTGAGTTGTTTTTTTTTTCCCTTTCTGAAAACATATGCCACAGCTTTTTTGGAGTGCTAGCCACACAAGCACGAACACATTCTAACAGGAGCAATGAATAAACGCTTAATGTTCCTCACTCACAGGCATTTCTTCACATAATTTTTTTTTTCTGTGCTTAGACGAAAACCTCTGGCACAGTTTGTGGGAAATAGAAAATAAATCTCTAAATCCAGTATGTGTCAATAACAGAAACGTGTTTAGTTGATCTCATATCTATAACTGTTATTTTGGGCAAACTGCAGATGGTAGGATAGTAAACATCCCCACTTCTAGCCCAGACAGGCTTTCTATGCCCTGCCCTCAGTGGGAACCTGCTGCTGTAAGGGCTGACTCCGGAGAGGGTCTTGGCGGGTCGTGGTTGCGCAGGGTTTAGCCCCAGTTCCATCCCATTTTTGAGCTGCTGCCTGCTTTTTCTGTTCCTTGGCCCTCCTCGCTTCCTTTACCCTGGGTCCTATCTCCTATGTACTCCCCCCCGACTGCCGGCTGTTTTTCCTGGCACGTGGAGCTGTGACGGGTCTGGGAGCGACAGCTCCTGGAGCTGATGTCAGTGCTGTTTCCTGAGCCGCCTGGCCATGCTGGCTGCAGCCCAGGCACACCCTCTCCCCAGAGCATCACCTTCTCAGCCTGCCCATCCTGCTGCTGCAGCAGCCCCTCAGGGAGGAGGCTTGTGCAAGTGATGGAAATTGAAGGTTAGCGAGCCTTTCACGGCGGTTTTCTGTGAGCAGCCATCTCCCACTCCTGGAGCCTCAGCTCAGGGTTTGTGGTGTGGTTGGAAGTGATGCCTGGTTTCTCTTCTGAGCTGTACGCACCTTGGAAGAGCAACGGGAAGCTTTGACACACGCAGACTTAATGATTCTGGATGTCTCTGCTTTTGTGTCACTTTGGTATTATCCATATGCTAAATCACTCCATGGTTTTCTATGGAAATTACCAGGCTGCTGAGAAAAGAGCAGAGCTGCATGTGTCCATTCTTCCAAACAACAGCCCAGTACATGCCACTTGGTATTTATAGTGAGAGGGAAAAAGGGAAGAATCACTTTAATTTGAGAAATGTCTCTCAGAAACAGCAGTAATTTATTCCTAGGCATTATTCTTCATTAAGAGCTACAGACAGCTGCAGCTTCCCTTTAAATAGAAAGTGCTCTCTGCAGGCATGCTATACATAGGGCTTCAGGTTTCTGCCGTTTCTCTGCCAAAAAATCAGAAGTATTTCTCACCAAATAAATGTTTATTCAGAAAGTCATATTTCCTGGCTTTTATTTCACGTCACAGGCTTCCGGCAGCCAGGCAAGAACAGCTCAAGGCTGTCGTTGGGGAGAGGAAGCTGAAACAGTTTGAGTCTCTTGTGGGGCTTCAAAAAAGTCTCTGACCATAACTCTGGGCCTTCAGTTTGGCAGTTTACTTTAGCTGTTGAACACTGGATTAAAATGGATGTTGCAGAAGTCCTGCAGGGCAGGTGTGCCTGTGCAGATGCAAAGTGGGTGGTGGTGGGTGTTTCTGTGCATCAGTTCAGCTCACCCCTTCTCCTAGCCTTGAAGCCGCAGCCATGCTGCATGGGTGCCAGAGAGGCTTTGGCCACTGGCAGCAGCTGAGCTGTTTTGTTGGTGAGGGATCCCCCGTATGATCAGTGTATGGACACCTAGGGACAGCAGGTAAGAGCTGGGCCGTGCCTGCTTGCACCTGCCACCCAGCAGAGAGGTGGCCAGGGTGGCTTCAAGTCCTGCAGAAGGATGCAGCGATGAAGCTGTAAGCCACCAGTGCTCCAGAGGACCAAATACCGTTTTTATTCACATCTGTGCAGCTTCCTTGCATTTACTTTCTCTTCATATTCCTGCTGGCTAGCTCTTCAACTAATGATTTCCTAAGGTGCCTTTTCCCCACTGTCAGTCCCGGCCTGAACTGCTGAGCTTCCTCTTTTGTCTCCAGGGCTTATCTGCTGGACCCATACTTTCCATTCAGTGTGCCAGCCCCTTACCACTCCAGTAGATGACTTCGCTGTTGTAGCAACCCCAGCTGGTTGTCTTTTGTCATCTGTGGCTATGGTGTCCCTATCAATATGTGATGTTTTCCTTCTCTACATCTCCTCCCAGTTCTCCCTGCACTCCTCAGTGTACGGCTTATAGTATGCAATCCATGTATTAAAATAATTTTTAGTTAGGTCATTCATTACTCTCTTGCTTTCTTGTTGTCCAGTATAGGTTCCAGAGAAGTGAGAAGCTGTAATTTTTCCAGGGCTAAAGTCCAAGTCTTTGATAGGCAAGCTTGACGCCTGAGGCCGCTACATGTTGCTACCGGTTGTCAGCTTTGTAAAACTTACCCTGCAGAGCAAAGAAATCTGGGCACAAAGATTGTTCTCTTCTCTACTGTGGCAAGCTGTAGTTTCCCAGTCTGTTCTGCCTCTCCTTCATTGTCTTCCAAGCAAATGGCTGTAAGATTATGACT